AACTGATGCCAGCAGATAAAATATGTGAAATTAAATCTCTGACACTTTTTATTCAGGGCTCGCAGATCTAGGATGTCCTGCTGTTGAGAAAAATAGTAATTACGTGTTTTTCCTCCTCGAATGTCAATATGTCGCTAATCTACGTTTAAGTGGCGTCAGGTGTCACTACTCTACTATTGCACACGGACGAACGGACGGACATTTCGTTTGTATGACCCAAGACTTTCAGTCAAAGGAATAACAAGAACAACTGAAAGTTTGTTCTCTTTTCTCATTTCGAAAGTGACGAATAAGCAGATGTTGATGATTTGTGACTGATGGATTCTCTTTCTTGTTTTTGTATGTTGTTTCTATTACTGATTACTGGCATTGTGGAGGAACCATGCTTCCATTTATTGCACGAACATATAAATTTAATATTTACTTCGAAGAAAGGTAAAGACAAGAGAGATATTTGCCATTTTCAAGGTAAATACCAGATTCATCTGTTCTTTCTGATGCACGAAAGAATAGTTATCCATGATGATAAATCAATCGCATGCTCGTTAAAAGCACAGCGAACTGGTATGGGTGGAAAAATGAAACGCACAAAAGCAAAAGGAGAGATAGCTGTTTACTTCTCTCACCGAATTGATAAATGAGGTCAAACTGTCCCTTACTCTTGTTATTGTATGTCTTTTTTTAGATATATGCATTTAAACCATTCATATCATTAATGTGTTTGTTTTCAGAACTATTCACCTTAAGCTATTAAAAAACGATCTCATTCCATTATCACGAATAAGATGTATTCATTTCATCTAAACAGCATTGCAAAACTTCATAAATAAAACAGAAATATTTTAGGTCAAGATGACACATATCATTTAATATATGTGCAGACATACATTAAGAGTACTTCTGTCATTCGATTTCCCTTGTATGTTAAAAACAAATCACACATAAAAGAAAGGTGAGAAAGAAAAATATTTTTTCATACGCTCTCTTTTGAAAATTTCTTCGTTCTTGTAAATCGAATATAGAACTGCTATGAATTCTTGTAAATTGTATATATTGCTGTGTGTTCTTTCATTCATACTGTATAGGTAATGAAATATTCACTCGTTTAAATTGTCGTGTTTTTTACATTAAGAATAGATGTACATATCATGCCGACTTACTACTGCTTGTCGAAGTTATATGAAATGAACTAAATACTCAATAGATTACCCATTAGTTGATGATATTATAATGAAAATATATATTCATATAGAGTTGTTTATTATAATAAGGTACATTTAAATTTTTAAGAGTAAACAAATAATTTAAAGTTTATTCTTATAAAATTAGATGTACTTTATTAAAATCAAAAAATTAAATATAAATATATATTTTCATGATCATATCATCGATTAATAGATAAGTATTCAGTTGATCTGAAATAACATCGATGAAAGTGTATGTATATCAAATGTGTAATGAGATATTTATGTAAAAGAAGAATTGCGATAGTTATGAAGTTTAGATTGTCAGTCTAGCAATTAATTGTACTCCGGTCAACTGACCTTAAAAGTCAACTGTTTATTTTTTTGCGCATCTCTTTTTCATTTCTTTGTTTGTTCGAGCTGGAACTTCGATTATTTGTTTTCGAAGTAAAATAGCCCGAAGAATTTTGAGTACTCTACATATTTACTCGGTGCTTGAAACCTCCGTCACTTATCAGTCTGGATTTGTTATATTGCTCTACCCCTTCACTGCTGATAGATGACATTACCTTCAATTACTCTACAATTCCACAGACAAACAATTCATCTTTCGTTTAGATTAATTGAATTATGACATCTTAGACAAACATCGTCGTCAATGACATTCATTCGCAACTAAATCCCACTCGAGTGGCGGAAGTCGTCATGGTGGATTCGTTAGAAGGTATTCAAGCAACCATTCTTAAGGCTGCAGAAGAGAACCAATCTATCTCTATTGCTGGAGGACGACATGCTATGGGTGCGCAACAATTTGGTAGTGACACGGTGTTGATCCATACTACTAAAATGAATCGAGTGTTAGGTTTCGACGAATCGACAGGTTTGATCGAAGTGGAAGCTGGGATACTATGGCCGAAATTGATTGATTACCTCATTGCAATGCAAAAAAACGTTCCTTGGACGCAACAGTGGGGTATTGCTCAAAAACAAACTGGTGCAGACCGGTTATCTATCGGCGGAACGCTGTCATGCAATGCCCATGGCCGCGGATTAAAGATGCAGCCCTTCGCTTCTGATGTCGAATCTTTTACCTTAGTCGATGCTGATGGTAAGTTTCGTCGATGTAGCCGCCAGGAAAACAAAGATCTGTTCGGACTAGTCAGCGGTGGTTATGGTTTGTTCGGTGTGATTTATTCCGTAACAATGCGCTTAGTATCTCGGCAAAAATTAGAGCGAGTAGTGGAAGTCATCACCGTTGACGAACTACCGGAGGCTATTGAACAACGTATTGAGGATGGATTTCTCTACGGTGATTTTCAATTTTCCACTGATGAGCAATCTGATGATTTTTTATACAGGGGCGTCTTTTCCTGCTACCATCCAGTTGATCCGGATACTCCAATGCTAGAAACTCAAAAAGAGCTAACCGAAGCCAATTGGACAGATCTTTTTTATTTGTCCCATGCAAACAAAGCTGAAGCATTTAAAAGATATGCCGATTATTACGTGTCCACCTCCGGCCAGATATACGCATCCGATACTCATCAACTGGCTCTGTATCTTGATGATTATCACCATGAGCTTGATCATCGTCTGGGTGGGACAGAACAGGCCAGCGAAATTATTACAGAAATCTATGTTCCTCGTCCCCGTCTGCCCGACTTTTTAGCCGAAGTCCGAGAAGATTTTCGAGCCAATAATGTTAACATGGTCTATGGAACTATTCGACTGATTGAGAAAGACACCGACAGCTTTTTACCTTGGGCCAAGCAGTCATATGCCTGCATCATCTTTAATATAAATACTGTTCATACTCCCGAAGGTATCGAACACTCTGCTGCTGCTTTTCGTCGTCTGATTGACATAGCTATCAAGCGTGGTGGTAGCTACTATTTAACTTATCACAAATATGCTACCCGTGAACAAATCGAAACTTGCTATCCAGAGTTTGCTGAATTTCTTCGTCTTAAGGGAAAGTACGATCCACAAGAGCGCTTTCAGAGCAACTGGTATCGCTTTTACCGAGAAATGTTTGATGACCAATGAACAACATTCATTTTTTCAAGATTCTAATTTGACTGATATGAACTTTAACTGAATCTACATATGTCTGTTCTTCGTTCTCTTTTATTGAATAGTTTATTATTTTTATATTTAAACAGTTCTTATTTTTACTTATTTTCCTGTACTTTTCCATTTGCTAAAAGAAGAATAAACTAACTGAATTAAATTGAAAATGCTTGACAGCATGTTTTAGAGAATTGAATAATGCTGGAAAAAAGAATTAGAAAGTTCAAAACCTGCATTTCATCGACCAGAAGGCAACAGACGAGCAAATATTTGTCCGCTGCTCGAATTCTCCGTGTAACGTAAAAGAAATGGAATATTAGTCGATCGAGGCACAAAGGACGGGGGTCGATAAGAGGCAAAATCGGCCCCCTCTCAGATCAAGCTCATATTCACAAGTCTGATGTAGTTTTTCTTCGTGATTAAAACTAGCATCTCAAAAAACCCATTTTCAGCCCCCCT